TTGCGGGTGAGTGTGGCGGTGGCGAGACTCCTCTCCCACCACTCGATTATTTTCCCCCCGGCCCATAGTCCCCTAGCCCCTCCATCCCTCCTTCGATTCAATACAAAAAGGTACGACGACCAGTACCAATTTCTTTCGATGAGGCCGGTGGAGGAGACAAAATAGAGCATCCGCGTCATTGAGGAGGTGGAGGAGACGACGACTACGATTAGATATGCCTCTACCTCTTCTCCCCCTCCTCCCAATTTCGCATTTGCAGAGGAACCCTCTTCCTAAACCACCTCAAACCTACAAATTATAACCAATAAACATAGGTAAAAGGAAAAGAGAATATGTTGGTGCTGCAGGATTGTTGCCAGAGCTCTGCCTCAGTTGGCAGCTCCGACCTCAGCCGTTCCTGCTCTACTTGTCCTTCTCATTCCACTTCTTCTTCTCCCTCTTAATTGGGCTTCTTCCTTTCGCATCCCAACATCAAACCCAAGCCTTCCTAATTTGATTTCAGACCCAAAAACCCTCACCCACAACAAGGTTCTTTCTTCCCCACTTTCCCATTTCTTCTCTACCATTTCTCCGTTGCTTCTGTTTACTGTTGGGTTGTCAGTATCAGTGAAGGATTTCTTTCATTCGCCCTTGTTGGTGAACCCTAGTAATGGAATTTTGAGTTTGGGGAAATTGTTGGAAGGTGTTGGTAGCAGCTGGAGTATCAGCAGCCATCGGTCAACTGTCCAAGCCTTTCACCTTCGTGCTTATGTACCATAAAGGCAACGCCTCTTCTTCCTCTTCCGCCAAAGACGACGACCCTGAATCAGATGGGAAGAAGAGTTATGCGGCAGCGGCGGAATAAGGGGCAGGGAGTTGGATCGAAGAAGGTGAAGAAAGGGATTTAGAGAGACGGAGAGTTCATCTCTTTTTTTATGTAATTATTAATAATAAAAAGATAACACATTTCCACTTTTTTTTGTAAATGACGTGTCATCCACCTATCAGTGATTGCTGAGGTGGAAACGAAAGAGAGGGTGAGTTGGCAGCCAAGTAAGCGTTCTGTTAAATTGACTAACGGTGTCACTGACTCCGTTAAATTATGTAACGGAAATGACTATTATTGTCATCAAGCTTTCAAATTCTGGCTATTATTGGTATTTCCTCAAAAGTGGCTATTATTGTCACAAACGTCAAAGTTTTTGCTACACAGATGAATTTTGCCTTTTTGTTTTCCCGACTTCCAATTTTTCTTTCCCTCTACCATTTCCTAATTTTTATTTATGGTTTTTATCAATTTTCAAATCCATAACGAGAGGTTGAGACTGATGCTGCAAAAGCAGAGAAAGCAGCAGCTAGCCCTGTTTCTGAAAACAATCGAGTCAAGCGTCGCGGTTCTCTTGCGGCAAAAGGACGAGAAAACCGCTCGCACGGCGAAACGTGCTATAGAGCTCGAAACGTTTCTGAAGAGGCTGGAGATGGAGAATTAGGCATGGCAGAGGGATCTCTTGGACAGAAGATAGGTTAGACCACTGGGTATTGAGAGAGGTAGGTGGGTTGAGTGGGGATGGTTTGGAATGGGGTGGGTCGTTTGGTTAAGTTCAATTATTTTATTATTAATTTTGATGATGTGAAGAATGACGGAATTTTGGATGAAGAATGACGGAATGACCATTTTGTTATACGCTTAAACGTTTATTATCAAATCGTGCAAAAATAAAGATTTGTGACAGTTTTGTACAAAGTGTAAAGGTTTGTGATCATTTATGATAAATAGCCGTAAAATTGACCTTGGAAGTATAAAAAAACGGAACCAAGGAGAAAAAAGAAGGAAAATCACAGCCAGTGCTTCAGAAACTACCATCATGATTCCCATAGTCTCTGATAGTGCAAATGAGACTAAAGATCATGACAGACAAATAGAAGGCTTCCACCGAATGGTGTTAGAGTCTGATTGTTGTAGTAGTCGGGATCGCTGGGTGTAATGGAGTTCGAGGCTTTTCTCCTTGTATGTTTTTTCTTGAAATTTTTCGGAAAACAAAATAGTGCACTTTGATAACAGATTGGATGAAAACATGATATTATCATTACCTGCCATAAACTAACGGGTGTCAATAATACGAGTTGTTGGGAGAGGCCAATATATGGTATTTAACTACTTCTTTACACGTCTTCTTAAACGAAAGCCGATTCATGAGTTTGAAGTTTACAAAGGCCTCCCCATACCAAGTGATTTAAGACAACGATTAATATTAGGGGTCGTGAGGAACTGAAAACATGACCTCAAGAACAAACCACCTCTGATGTCGAGTTGTTGTGAGATGTCCATGTATAATACTTAACTACTTCCTTACATTATCTTAATTCTCAATATAATTATTATTTAACTTAAAAAAATGCAATTAAAGAATTTTATTTCCCAACTTTTAACCTTTGAAATCCGAACCTGCTTCTAAATTTGTACGCTGTCATTTCCATTATCGGGTGGAAGAGACAGTAAATATAGGAAAGCCAAAGAGAAGGAAAGTGACGTCTGACTTTTTGCGACTGGATTAGTGAGGTGGAGAGACTGGTGGACTGAAAGAATGATTTATTTACAAAAAAAACCAATCTCACCGACAGAAAGGGGTTCTATAGCTGAAAGAATGATTTGTTAACAAATTTGTCACATAATACTTTTTTACATATGCTCTATAAATACTATAATCGAGTTGTATAGTACAATATGTCCAATTGTCCGGTGGATCGTCATTCTTAAATTACCAATGAGTACTAATCACAGATATAATCTTTTTCCTTAATTTTTTGCTTTTTTGTTTTGGTTGTTGACAGATATGAAAATAAACGTTAACGACCTGACCTGACCTCCCCTCAGTCGTTCACCTTCCTTTCCATCCTCTTAAAATTATATCACTCCCACTCTCGCCTTCGCTTTTGCCTCTTCCACACAAATAGAAAATCCAAACCTCAACCTCTGAGATTTGATCTCTCTCTTGATGTTCCTTCTTGTTACATGCCAACAGAGCGCCTGACCCAGATCTCCTCTGGGCTGCTCTTTCTTCCACTCTACGCGTTTTCTCGTTGTTTGATTCCATTCATTCACTCACATTCCCAGTAAGCTCTCTCTCCCCCCTTGTTGTTTAGCCTATTGCTTCGGTTAATTGGAATGCGGAGTAGACTCGTGTCACGGATCTGATTTGCCAAATTCCCATCTGGGTATGGATTCGTTTGGCTGTTCCAATGATAGGTTGGATTCGCTTTCGTGTTTAAGATTCTCTCGAGTGGTGTGGGCAATTGCGATGGATTTTTTTTGTTTGGTTTTGGGGATTTGGTGTTCTCAAAGCTAGTAGGACTAATGAGCTTCATTCTCTTCATATCTCATGATGCTTTACTTCGTCTTTGATTGCGTAATTAAAGAAGGTCATTTTCCTTTTTCTTTTCTAGTTCTTGATTGCCAGCTTAATCAATTCCCTCTGAACTCCATGTTTGCCATTTTTGGTTTCCTTTACTTGAATCGGTTGGATCCTATTTACTAAATTAGTTGCTCAGTTTGCCTGTTCATTTTCATGTATTAAGATGGGGTAGTTAAGTTTTGTATGCAGTAAAGTGTGCCTTCATTCCTTATCGACAACACATTGCTTAATTTATGGATCTCGATCTTGTAACACAAGTTGCACTTTTGTGTCGATAATTAGTCGTCACATCTCTGCTATTAATTTAATGTTCTGCTAAACGGTTAAGTTGGAAGCTTTCATTTGTTTATATTAGGAGATTTAGCTTTAACTCATCAAGTGATTGATTTGTGGCTCTTAATTAATGCTCTATAGTTGACATATGTCTGCAAATGGTTCTACTTCCCTAATTTCCCTTCACCTGTTTTTCTGTTGGGCTCTTACAATTCTGTTGCTTTCACCCCTTCTTTATCACAGGTCTTGGCTGAAGGGCTTCTGTGTGATATAAGAGTCCCTAGGAATCTGAATTTACCGTTGTTTATTTGGGATACTAAAGAACATAACAGCTTCAGACCAGTAAGATCTGCTTTATGATCTTTGAGTGATCTAATCTAACTAATAGTCAACAGAGTCAGCTAGTTTAAAGATCTATTAAGTAGGTAAAACAATGAGAGGAAGACCGGATGGTGCATAGAAGAAGTGTTTGATAACTTCTATCTGTGTTCTAGCTGTCTTTCTTGGGTTTATTTACTTCTACTATGGATCCGTTTTTGGTTCTCAAGATCGTGGTGCATCTGCTCTAGAATATGGAAGCAAATCCTTGCGGAAACTTGGTTCGTCTTATTTGCGCGGGGATGATGATTCAGACAAAGAGGATGGAACTAGATTTGGCCTGGAAGATGGAGAGAATGATAGTGTCCCAAAAAGCTTCCTGGTAAGGGCTTCCACCACGAATTAAGCTTTTGGCATGTCAACTTTCTTGCTTGGCTATGTCTACGGTTCATTTACGTTTATTTATGGTTCTTACTATTAGCATCCAAATCGTTGTAGTAAATGTCTCTAATTCAACTTATGGTGGCTTTTCAAGGTTTGTGATGATCGGCATTCGGAACTGATTCCATGCTTAGACCGAAATCTTATATATCAGATGAGACTGTGGAACATGAAAAGTCTAATCAGAACTGGATGGTTGTAAAAGGTGATAAGATAGTATTTACTGGCGGAGGCACTCATTTCCACTATGGAGCTGACAAATACATTGCTCCTATTGCAAATGTAAGATAGCCGATTCTTGCTTATTCGTTAGACCCAGGCAAAAGATTTTAGTACATTTTGCTTAGTGTATCTTGCCCTAATGGTATGCATTTCTGGACTGTTTACGATCTTTTTGTTCCACATGTTTTTCAATGATCGCCGTTCATAACATTTCTCCTTTTTATTTCAATTTTTCATATGCTAAACTTTTCCAATAATGTACTGAATGATGATGGAAATGTAGGAACTGTTCTGGATGTTGGCTATGGAGTTGCAAGTTTTGGGGGTTACCTTTTATCATCCAACATTATCGCAATGTCCTTGGCTCCAAATGATGTTCATCAAAACCAAATACAGTTTGCCCTAGAGAGAGGCATTCCTGCCTATCTTGGTGTTCTTGGGACTAAGAGGCTTCCATATCCGAGCAGATCTTTCGAGTTCTCCCATTGTTCCCATTGTAGAATCGATTGGCTTCAGAGGGATGGTATTCTTCCTCTTGAACTCGATAGGGTACTCAGACCAGGAGGTTATTTGCATATTCATCACCCGAGGCATATGCACAAGATGAAGAATATCTTAGAATATGGAGAGAAATGAGTGCCCTTGTCGAAAGAATGTGTTGGAGAATAGTTGCAAAAAGAAACCAAACGGTTATTTTGCGGAAACCTCTTACGAATGACTGTTACATGCAAAGAGAACCTGGTACCCAACCTCCTCTCTGCCATTCTGATGATGATCCTGATGCAGTTTGGGGTGTGCAAATGGAAGCTTCCATTTCACCTTATTCTGAGTGTGAGTTCCTTTCATGCCCATGTTATCCTCTCTTATGCATATCATGAGATCTTTCCCATAGTCATTCTGTAGCATTGAGCTAACCATGGGGTTTTATTCTCTATCAGACGACCACAGAGTGAAGGGCAGTGGACTAGCTCCTTGGCCAGCTAGATTGACTACCCCACCACCAAGACTAGCCGATTTTGGCTATTCAAATGATATGTTTGAAAAGGACGTGGTAAGTACTTGAAATATTCATATTCAAATCCGTTGCTTTCCCCTCAAACTGAAAAGATGTAGTATGACAACAAGCTAGAATTGAACATGAGTAATGTTTTGTAGGAACTCTGGAGAAGGAGGGTGGAGAACTACTTGAATATCTTGAGCCCGAAGATTCACTCAGATACCATAAGGAATGTAATGGACATGAAAGCAAACTTGGGGTTGCTGCTGCACTTTTTAAGAACAAGGATGTATGGGTTATGAACATTGTCGTAGAAGATGGACCAAATACATTGAAGGTGGTATACGACAGGGGGATGATAGGCACCATCCACAGCTGGTAAGTAATATTCAACTTAAATTCCAAGGCATTCTTCTTTCTCTATGCTTATTATTTCTTTTATCCATCAGTTTATTTGGTTGGTTGGGAGGGTGATACATGCAATTGCTTTGTTTTTCGTCGACACTTTAGATGTATTTGTTTGCACTTTAAATTAAATAGCATGCAATTGAGATTAACAACAGTGATTTACAAACACACCTATAGCCTATGGGGATTTGCGTGATTTACAAATGCACCCCGCTGAATGCTTTCCAACATATCCATTTGACAGGTGTGAATCCTTCTCGACATATCCTCGGACATATGATTTGCTTCACGCTTGGACCGTGTTCTCTGATGTCGAGAAGAAGGAATGCAGTGCAGGAGATCTTCTGTTGGAGATGGATCGTGTGATAAGGCCCATTGGTTTCATTATCATAAGTAACAAGCAAGTGGTGATAGATTACGTGAAGAAGTATCTGGTGGCGTTGCACTTGGAGGCAATTGACTCCTCGAGCACTGAACAAGACCGGGATGGTGAAGATGTTGTCTTAATCGTCCAAAAGAAGTTGTAGTTGACTAGTGAGAGCCTTAGAGACACAGAGTAGTAGCTAGGGGTGGGCAACGAGAAAGAGGTATTTGGGTATACCGATACCCATCCCGTTTTTTTAGGGTTACGGGTACCCAAATATCCGTAATTTTTTATACGGGATGAGACTTGGGATCGATGATTCTATATTGGGTACCCGCAGGTTACCCGTTAATACCCGTTTGGGTAGTACAGGTACCCGTAATACCCATTAGCAACAATTCCCTATTCAGTACTAGACTCATAAATATGATCACGTAGATACTTAAAGTTGATCATGAATCTCTTCCACATTATCATACCAGTAGGAAAATAAATTGTTACAACCGAATGAGAAAATGTCGAGTCCTGAAACTTGAGAATATGCATAATAGGATTCCAGGCAAGGTTTTCCCTCTTGTGGGGGACGATAGTTGTTTAATTTGTATTAAGCAGTTGAGGGTAGTTTTAATACTTAATCCATCCATCTTTAGCAACCAATATTACTGCTCCCTTCTCCCAAAATGCCTTTCTTTGATCTATAATTTCGAGTGAATTTGATGATAGTTTATTAGTTTTCAGTGGCAGTTTACTTGCTTATATCTTGTGATTTAGATGTTATCATGTGTGTCTTATGTTTCTGTTTGAATTGTGATACTCGCAACAATAAACATGCGATATAGTTGGATGGGTATATACGGGTAATTTGGGTACCCGTTATCCATCCCGTACGGGTTTGAGACATGGGATGGAGTTTGCTCTTCAAATGGGATTGGGTACCAATTTCAAACGGGACGGGTATCCCGTCCCGTCCCGTTGCCCACCCCTAGTAGTAGCGCGAGACACAAGCCCTTCTCAGTAACTCCAACGACGCATATATTTTTCGAGTGAAGGCCCCAGCACTAGGGGAGGAAGGAAGGAAGAATGCCACAGTGTTGTGACTAGCAAGACAATTTTCACATTTTGTAGTTGGGAATGAAGTTCCACCCACCATATCCCTTTTCTTTTTGGTCCTTGTAATGATTCTTCAATTTGATAGCATGGAACTGTAAGCCATCATCAATAGGGGCACTACTATTCTTCAAAGATTGGTTCTTTTTTGCTGTTTGCGTTAATGAAAGCTAAGAATAGTTGCTGAAAACCTTTAGTACTCTTCCTTGTCACCAGCTCATTTCCTTCTGGTGCCAGTGGGAGGCTAATAACTAAGTGGCCCCTATGCATTGCATTGCAGACGCGGTTTGTGGGAATGGTTGTTTTCCGAGCGCAGCTGTGGAGTGGAGAGTGGGGTTGTAAAGTATATGAAAGAAAGGGAAAGAAAGGCCAAGAAAATAAAACACAAAACAATCAAACCGCCTTGGCACATGCTAATGTCCCTTTGCATTTGACTGCGGGAACCACTTATGAAACCAAACTTGAGTTGTTCGTTGTTCTTCTTATAAAGTTTGATTCGTACGGCACTCCAGTGTTCATTTGCTCTCAAGAAAAGACTGGCCATTTCCAACAATGCCTTGGCACGGTAGTACATGAATGGTTGATTGACTTTATAAGATTGTATGAAATAATCGATTATTTGATAAATCTTATTATTGAGATTGGGTGAAATAATATTTATGTACGTGAATATAATTACATATACATGAACAATTAATAGATTTGTGTGAGAATACATAGGTTTCATTAGGGTTGTAGGTATGCTCCTAGATATCCACTAATCCGATCCGTCTCGACCTTGAAGGTTGGCCGGGTCAGTTTGTATAGATGATTAGCTTGGGATGGGTCATTTTTTTACCCTGTAAGGGTCAGGTAGGTTGCGCCAACTTAGTATCGGGTTGCTTTTTGGCCCTATGACTCATAGCAACAACTAGTGATTTGAATTTCTTTGTACTAACATATTGGACCTGTTTGTAAAGTTTTAAAAGTTTAGGTACTCTAATGCAAGGTAAAAAAATATAAAGGTACTAAAATCTAATTTAAATAGCAAAATTTATGGACTTGTTTGTAAAAAAATAAAGTTTAGATAATAAATTATAAGAAAGATAACTTTGGCTTACAAAATATAATTTTAAAAAACAATATGTTGATTGATTTGAGCGTACCCAACCAACGCAATCATAGAGGACCAAACAGGGTTAAGAAGGAAATAGAGACCGCACGAGCTAGTTTTATAAATGAATTCTAAGGAGACCGATCATACAAGATTCTTACAGGATCAGAGGCGGATTTGACATAATTTCAGCGTTAAGTTTTGTTTCGTGAGGCAATCTCACGGCAAGATAAGAAACCTCTCCCTTCTTTCTTTTCTAAGTCCCATCTACCTCCAAGGGAATCATATGCCCTAGTTCTTCCACTCAATTCAATGTCCAAATCAGCTCAATTATATTCTATTGTTCGAACTCATCCATAATTTGGGAACTCAGCTCCTCTAATTGAGCCAAAGAAAACTTTGTTCATCATATGGGTTGGTACTGGTAATGGACTAATGGTGTTGTTGGGGGTGTTCTCAATTCTTGTGGTGCATTTGCCCACCCACTTTGTTTCCCAATTTCAACCCAACAAATTGGGTGGCATAAGATTGACAAGTGACTAACAGTTGCATCTCATTTCTGATAAATGATAATGATGCATGTAGTTAAAGGTAAAGTTGAAGTTGAGGTTGATCACTTCTAATAATAATAATAATGTGATCGCAATTAATGTCCCTTTTGTTTTTGCTTATGTTTCTTCTTCCTTTTGGCCATAATGACATTGTATTTTTATATTTTGCATATCTCAGTTGGGGCTGGTCCCCTCTTTTCAAACTTTTGCCCCCTGTCCTACTCCTAATGGAAATTGGCCTCCAACACCAGCACCTTGATATTTTCTTTGTTTATTGCAGCTAATATAATAACAATCTTGTTATGTTGTTATTTTAACGAGATAAAATCGATTTGCTTTTTGTTACACAATATTTAAGAGGGCATGCGAGGAGGAAAGGTCACTATGGTATTCAAATATGAAACTTCCAAGTTGAAGATCAATGATAATATCGTTTGATTGAATCTTTGTTCGTTCAATTTGTCTGTAGATAAGTTTTTCAGTTTTAACCGAAACCAAACAGATAAAAAACTTAACGGTTTTGGTTTTTAGGTTTATACTGTTTAGCATCTTAATGGTTTTGATTTTGATTTATAATTGGAAACCAAAAGGACACCGATAACATTCTAACAAGTTAATACCCATCAACACCACGTATTGTCACCAACTTATGTGTAGTAGACTTTTTTCTATCTTCATGCCTCCTGTTGTCTTTTCTCACTCCATTTTTGAATTTACAAAGTATGAGTTTGGATTTTGGTTTTTCACTTTTTTGTTTTATCCAAACCAAATGAAAATTGTTAAGTGTCTTATCAGTCTTCGATTACTTAACTAATAACCGGTAAAATCCTTTAACATTTTTTTATAATTTATCAAATTTGATTTTTTATTTTTATTTTTCATACTTAATGATTTGGTTAACCAAACTAAACTGACAGCCCTGCTTACATGAGTCAGTCATCCAATACTAGCCGGCTACCAGTACTTGCAAAATTTAAGGATAGGTTCAAGCATTCCCTCCATGTTTGTTTAATTGAAATGAATCCCAAAGTGACGAAAAGAAAAAATGGCGAGACAAAGACAAAGAGAGCAAGGAGAGGACTATTCTGTCTGTTGATGACCTTTTTCTTGCATAAGATGGCAAACACGGAGTCACGGACAACAACACAAAACAAAAGTCAAAACTCTTGTGGCTCCAAAGTTTAAAGTTTCAACTCCCTCTTCTCCGTAATACACGAAATTATGAGCAAAATTCTTTTGCATACAGTTTTTTAGGGTTTGGTTGCTTGATGAATTTGGTGATTGATTTAGATTTATCATGGTATTTTGTTTAAAATATTTTGTTTGTTTCATGTATTTAGATTTTAGAGGTAACAAGTTCATGGGTCCCATAGACTTTGAGGGTCCAAATCCGTGGACTCAACAGATTTGAAAATCACACCTCTTTAGGTGGGAATTAATCATGAACTTATAAGTCCTTGGTTTATGACCAATGTACCCGTATTATTTCCTTTTTTCATACAAGTTTGGTGTAACCTAGATCTAGGTCGCTACAAAAGTTTATTTGTCTTCATATGACAATGCCTCAAGGTCATTCTTACCACAGTGGTAGCCCTACAAACCTGTGGAGTTAATTGCCTCAATCGATGCACTGTGTGATGGTGACATCAAGAGAGCATTGAACACTTATTCTTCAGATGCCCCCTAGCCACTAAGTTGTGGATCTTATTGGGATTGAACAACTTTATTTATTCCGCCCCGACTGTTAATTCTAGTATATGGTGGCGACATGTCATGATCTCTGAGATCTCCCCATTCCACATTCTCCAATGCGTCTGTTTACTTTGGAGAATCTAGAAGTCTAGAAATAAAGTGAGTTTTGAATTCTACCAACCTCATGTCCATTCTCTCGCCAGACAATTCTACAAGCAAGTCCTTGAAGTCTCCAATATTCACCCCCTACTCCATCCCCAGATCGCACCTCCATAATCCTCCTCCCGCCACTTGGGACCCTCCACCAGACGAATTTTGAAGATGAACTTCTATGTAGCTATTCGTGACTCGATGCTCTTCTGGTCTTGTTAACTGTGGATCAAATGGGCATGTAGTGTGCGATAAACACGGATGTATCGATAGGAATTGGGGATGAGGATAGAAGAATTAGGGTTGAGAATTGAGATGAGAATTCGAAGAAGGGAAGAGGAATTAGGGTTTTAGGAATTCTGATATTATTCTTGCTTAATTGAAATAACAAATATTGTAGCTTAAATAGTTCTCTCCCCACCAATAATCAAATGACCCAATTACCCTCCCTAGGCCCACTCGGCCACAGTCACCGCGTCTCTCACACTCCCTTCCCCTTCGGAACCAAGCTTGTCCTCAAGGTCGAATGCAGGGTAGTTCTGTTGGATGGTCTCTGTACTCCAAAGTCGCTCCTCCGGTCCGAGATGTCTCCACTGAATGAGGCTCTTCGCTACGCGGCGTTTGCCTCGCCGTGGCCAACGCGTATCAAGCACTGCCTCGGGCTCCAGCTCTAACTCACCATTCTCGTTTACAAGTGGCTCCGGTGGCGTCGTGGGCGGCCCTTTTCCCTGATACATGTGTAAGAGTGAAACATGAAATGCGGGGTGAATCCGGGCAGTGTCCGGAGCTGCAGCCGATACGCTACCGGCCCGATCCTCTCCATCACCTAATACAGCCCGAAATACCGGACAGCAAGCTTCTGATAAGCTCTCCTGAACACAGATGTCTGATGATAAGGATGAAACCTGAGCAACACCCCCTCGACCACTGCAAACTCCTCCTCTCGCCGCGCGGAATCCGCCTGCTGCTTCATCCGGCTGTTGGAGGCACCCAAATTCGTCTTCAGTTGCTGCAGTGCCGCGTCCCTCTCTGCCAGCCACCTGTCGACAAAGTCCATTGCACTTGCTCCGGACTGGTACCAGACTAACATGGGCGGCGTCCTCCCGTACAAAGCCTCGAATGGAGACATCTGAATTGACTGGTGATAGGTGGTATTATACCACAACTCCTCCCATGGTAGCATAGCTAGCCAACGCCACGACTGCTAGTGTGCGAAGCATCTCAAGTACTGCTCCAATATTCTGTTCACCACCTCAGTCTATCCATCTGTCGGCAGATGATAGGCATAACTCATCTTCAGCTCCATCTTTGCCATGGCAAACACTTCCTTCCAAAACCTGCCCTAGAATAGCGCATCCTGGTCACTCACAATCGACCGGGAAAACTAATGGTGTCAGATGACCCCCCAGACAATCTGCTATGCAACGCTCCTGGCTGTGTAGGAATGGGACAGAGCCATGAAGTGTGTATACTTCGTGAGTCGGTCCACCAATACCAGCAATACTGTTTTCCCACCGGTACGGGCAGCGGCTGCAATAACCCCGCCGATCGTAATTGGGACGCCTTGACCCGCTGGCATGTGTCACAGGATGCCACGTAATCCTTGACCTCGCGGGTCATCTGCGACCAATAGAACTGACTGCGGATCTTTCTCAGGGTCCTCTCATGCCCAAAATGACCTCCAACAGGGGAATCGTGGAATTCCCTCATCATCGTCGCCGTTAGGGAGGTGGCCGCCGGCAGACCACTCACCCCCTGAGGTAGACCAACCCATGTCGAAACGAGTACTCGTCGGGTGTCACGCTAAGGGATACGTCTCGTTGTTCCTTCAGGTACGGGCTCGTCTCCACCGCCTT